CACGAGACGACATTAAGTGAAAGGAATAGAAAAATTGAGAGATGGGCACATTTATTTGCTTTCAACAAAATGGTTATAGGTGATACTAACGCATACATAAAGCCACATAAATATCACCGGAACACATTACAGAAACCAGATCAATCATATCTACATAAATAAAAGAATTCAGAAGGTTCATCGAAGACGCAAGAACAAATAGAGGAGCTTATATAACTTTAGATCACCACCTGGTTATGGCCAGGGTGAAGCTGAAGCTAGAGAAACGCTGGACAACTGAACAAACAGCATTTAAACAGTTTAATACAACCTTCCTTTAAAACGCTAACCAACTCAATGAATGCAAAATAGCTCTCAGAAACAAGTTCCAAGCCTTGTAAGATCAACTGAAAGAATAGGAAATTACTGTGGAGGACAACTGAGGAGTTAGAGAAGCAATTGCTTCAACATACCAGGAGGTGCTGAGCCGCAAGAAGCATTAGTATAAACAATGATTTTACTCCGGGCAAGATTGAAGGAAGGAAGCAAGTAGACAGCAATCAAAAAAGCACACAAATCCAAGGAACAGGACAAGCATACAGAAGCGAACAAACAAGCAGAGGAGCATTACAGCTGATCAGAGGAAATACGTAGAGAACCTGACAATGACAGCACCGAAATCTACAAGAGAAGGAAATGAGAGAAAAACTATATGACACACCGAAGAATCCAGCAGAAAAATATAGTGAATCAGAGTGAACAGTCAAGAAAAAATAAGGCAAACTAACCACCGAAACTTAAGGACAACGGAACAGGTAGGCAGAACACTTTGATAAACTCTTAAATAGATAAGACCCACTGAACCCACTCAACATCGAAGGAACACGCACAAACATCTCTATAGATGTCACCCCACCAACAATCGGAGAAGTCAGTGTGACCATCAGGTAAATCATCAGTGGGAAACCAGCAGAAACAGACAACATATCAGTTGAAGCACTCAAGTCAGATATTAGAAGTAACAGCGAACATGCTCCACACTCTCTTCAGGAAAACAAACAAGCACCAAACAGATTGGAAAGTAGGATACCCCATCAAAATACCGAGGAAAGATCTCAGCTAGTGTGAGAATCACAGAGTCATCACACACCTATCAGTATCGGGAAACACTTCCGACAGTGTTGTTGAATTGAATGAAAGATTCAGCAGATGAACAACAGAGATCAACAGACCGAATTCCGTAAGGATAGGTCGTGCATAGGCCAGATTGCGACACTACGGATCATTGTTTAACAATCAATTGAATGAGACTGGTCGCCGTACAACAACTGCATTGAGTATGAGAGAGTATAGGACATTGTGGATAGGAGAATCTTGTGGACTCTTCTTCGACACCACGGTGTACCTGAGGAAACTTTCACCATCTTACGGGTTTAGTACGACAGACTACACTGTAAAGTTGTGCATGAAGAACAGCTTACAGATGCAATCCAAGTGAAGATCGGCGTTGGACAAGGTTGTTTACTTTCTCTTTCTTCTGGTGATTGACTGGACTATGAGGACCTTCACATTTCAGGAGAGACATGTAATACTAGCGTGTATGCGGCGAAACGACCTAAACTTTGTATACGACCTAGCGCTCATGTGGAGATAGACTGTTGCAGAAGCCTCTGCAACAGCAGGCCCCAACATACGCACGAGAAGAGGCAAGATCCTCAAATACAAAAAAAGAGCAACAACTAAATCATTCGGTGGAGAAGTACTGAAGAAGGTGGGGATTTTTAAGTACCTAGGCAGCGTCATTGATAATCAAGGAGGATCTGATGCGAATATGAAGGCAAGGATTGGACAAAACAAGAGCAGCATCCCTATAATTGAAGAACATATGGGACTCAAAACGACTGTCAGCTAGCATCAAAGTCAAAATCTTCAATACAAACGTGAAAACAGTCCTGCTGTTCGGAACTGAAACTTAAAGAACCACTGCAGCCATAGTCAAAAAGACAGGTATTTATAAATGGCTGTCTGCCCGAAACACTCAATATCCATAGCACCGATACCGTTAGCAACAGTCTTCTGTAGCAGAGAACAGACCAGCTTCCAGCAGAGGTCGAAATTAGAGAAAGGCCGAGGTGGGTCAAACATATATAGGGGAAGTCACCAAACTGCATCACGAGGCAAGCACTAACTATGGATTCTCGAGAAAAGTAAGGTATGTGGTGAACTTTTGAATGTGAACAGATATTCAGAACTTAGCAGACAACTTACAAGCGTTATTTTACCAGAAACAAACTCTCCATTCCACTCACATCTTTCTCCTTATATACCTATTTCTAACCCAATCGTTGCTGATACCTTGACGTAGTGACCAGGCTTACCTATCGTGATGAACCAGTCGAGCTACACTGGCTGGAACAATCGTTCCTCAATGTCCTACCATGCCAGACAGGTCGGTTGGAAAGCGGAAATACTAAGAGCAGCAAACCCAAGATACGAGAGCGAAGTCGTACTACTGAATGTCTTTCTGAAACCACATATATCATCCACAGTGGCTTCCTTCAACGTTTGGACACTAATGCAGATCGGACAACAGATAGGGTTGGTTATGTCTTTAGAAAGTCTAAATATCGATGTTTGTTGTCTATCCGAGACCCGTATTCAGGACTTTGGTGAAGTACTACAAATTTGCTCTCCATCTGTTGCTTCACGTGCATATACCCGGGGACCCTGTTGCATCTTCGTCCAGTTATGCTGGCGTTGATGTCACATTACTTACTGGAAATTCTATTCACGCTTCGATTAAGAGTCAAACAATTCAAATTATTGTCATTATTTACCGTCACTTATTCACTCTCTTTTATTCCCACTCTGTGTATACTTATTTTTCGACTTATACAGCAGCTCGCTTATGGTGGAAACTCGGTCTTATCAAAACGTCCTCGAGTCACTGCTTGGTTGATAATTGTATGCTACCACCAAATTTGGGGTGCCCTGGTACGGCCGAGAGTGGAGACTGTCTGTTCTCCCTCTCGAAATACTTTCACACGGCCACGCGTATATAGCCTCTGCCAGGGAAGTCCTATTCATTGCCTTCTCGTGGCGGGGGTGTTGTTTACGAAAATGAGAGGACGAAAAGCGAATGTCCGGCGCTTTAACCGGATTCCAAACCAATGGTGCACATGGGCTTCAGTATCCTGCAGGAACAAATGGCGAATGAATCAATTGTTGGTCACCGGCTTCCATGGGACTGCATCTCCTCACGATGCTCCACTGCCTTGTGGATCAGACCTTCAGGTCGAAGGCTCGGGGTGTGGCCCCCTAAGAAAAACACCTGCTTCGGTTTGGGCACCCGGGCAGTATCACAGCCCTCACACATATCGAATGAGATTTGTGTGGCGCATATGTATTTGGTGCCTCTTTGTACCATTATCTATGTGTTGAAATAAATAATACCACCAAATACAAATACTGAAGCAGTTTTTCTGAAACCACGTGCAACATTCAAACTGGCTGCCGTCAATGTTCGCACAATTATGCAGACAACAGATAGGGTTGGTTATGTCTTTGGAAAGTCTTAATATCGATGTTTGTTGTCTATCCGAGACCCATACTCAAGACTCTGGTGAAATACTACAAATTCGCTCTCCATCTTTCGCTTCAAAAAGATTGTGTTACATGCGTTTATCCGGGGACCCTGTGGCATCTTCGTCTGGTCTTGCTGGCGTTGGTGTCGCACTAAGCGCTAGAGCTGAGGCAACACTAGTCGATTGGATCCCCATTAACAGTCGGTTATGTGCCGTTAGATTAGAGAGTTTCATCAAAGTGAGAAGAAATCGGCGTGAGACACGATGTCTTTTCATCATCTCCGCCTATGCAGCAACAGATTGCAGCCCGGATGGAATCAAGGATGAGTTTTACCACCAGTTATCTGTTCTTCTCCAGAAAGTGCGTTCGACAGATATCATAGTACTAGCCGGAGAATTGAATGCTTAGGCACGGAAGAGTGTCGTTTAGGTGACCTGTGTGGACTTGTTGGTCTCAAGTCAAATAACGGGAACCGCCTAATGCAACTGTGTGCACACCACAACCTGTTTCTAGTTAGCACTAACTATCTGCACAGTCATCGCCGATGTGAAAACTGCCGTCCTTCGTCTGCATCTCAAGCCTCGATACAGATTGATCACATTGCGGTCAGCTACGGCTGGTGTGGTTATGTACAAGACTACCGCTTCTTTGGGAGTACCTATGTGGACTATGATCATGCCCTTGTTCGAGCTAATCTTACCTTACGTTTCAGTCGCCAACAAACTCATCGTTCTGAACGGATCGATATCAGTAAATTGGTCGCACTTTCTATCGCAACTAAATATCATGCCGAGCTAGGTTCGAAGCTAGCTATCATCACAAAGAAAAGCACAATATGCATCGGTTGCAATTGCACGACGCCATGAAAATGGCGGGCAAAGCCTCCATCTACTTTGCGAAAGGTCCCGCTTATTTGCATTAGGTTTCCTCAAACTCCTTACAACTAATCGAAGCCAGTCGGTCTAATCCAGGTGACCGCGAGTTTGACCATAAACGACAACTGTTAAATAAGGAAATAGATTTTTCAAAACCCGCAAAAGACAGACTCGTGAGGAGCAGACAGGTGGCGAGACTATAATTTACGAACGGAACCAATCAGGCATAAGATAACACGTTTTGGATTTTGGCACGAAATTCACTTGACTTTTATTATTATAGCCGATGTCAGTTCGTGATGAAAACCCTAAGTGTAATTCCAAACCTTAATCGCCAACTGTAAATCATATATCTAATTCCTCACACAGGTTTATGACTCTCATTCGGTTCTGTTTATTAGGTAGACATCCTAAAGGTTGGTCTGGCGTCACTGAGGAATGTTCCATAAATTATACTGTCACCCTTATTACTAATAGAAGTTAAACACTTATAAGGTGCAGACCAACACGTTTTTTTGATGAATTGATGAAATGTAGCTTCAATATATCATGCATACCTACATCAAGCCGCAGAATGGTGGATAGATGTATTCGATCCTTGTACTCTTTATAATTTCCTGTTACTTCTTAACCGTATATTCCACTTTTCCGAGTTGGGGAGTACTATACACTCGCGGTTACGAACACGGTCATAAAACGCGGGCGTCATAGATTCAAGGTCTTATGAATCGAATAGTTGTGGACGGAATAGAAGATTTTGCTTACCCGGCCTCCGTGTCTAGTAGCAGTGTATCACCAATACCTTCAGACAGGAACCTAGGTGTATTACGATAACAGAGGAAAATAACATATTGGTAAGTCATAATGAGATGTTATCCGTAGTCCTCAATATTAGGTCAAGTTTCCTCTTGAAGGACTGCTGGAAAGTCGCTTGGACTGGCTCAGCCAGCAGCAAATTACAGCATTTGACAACTCTTAAGGAGTGGAAGTTGTCTCTGCAGTTTGTTCTGCTATATTGCATCTCCAATTTCCGGGTGTTACCCCTTAGGTTTGTTTTGGAGCAATACTTAAGTAGGTGTTTAAGATGATTTTCAGACGTGTTAGAGATACTAAAAGCCATTAGAAAGTCACTCCTGAGAATCCTGTACTCTAATGTGTAAAGGTTCAGTGATTAAAGGCGCTCTGCATATGACTTGAATTCGAGTTCCCGAATTGATTTAATAGCTCGCAGTCGTATATGCTCCAGAGTGTCCTTATTTTTTGGAGTGAGGGAGAAAATAGTATGTTTCCGTACATTAAATGAGGCTGAATAAAACTGTTGAAGAACATATGGAACGTTCTTCCATGAAACTGGTCCAAAATGCGCTTTAATGTCACCAGTCCAAGGTTTGCTCGAAAGGCATTTTAATCACAGTTAGCATAAGACTTTAAATCGTGGCGTACCAGCACTCGCAAATTCCTTTCAACTTGGTATACCTCAAGAGAGGAGCTTTGTTAGTTGTAACTATAGTCTGCGACATGTTGCAGATGGACTACTTTACACTGTGAGGTGTTAAAGGTAAGTCCGTTGTCATCTGCCCAACTTTAAAGTTGAGTCAGATCCTCCAAAAGTGTCAGTATATCCTCTTGGTTGAGTATCACACTCCAGAGTTTCACATCATCTGCAAAAAGCAATAAGTCAGATGGTATCTGCTGTGGAAGAACATTTATATAAATCAAGAAGAGATGTCCTAGTACTGAGCCCTTGACGACCCCACTAGGAAATTCCATATCTTGAGGTAAAGTGAAGTTAACTCTGACATTTAAATGTCGACTTTTTAGATGTGAAATGAGTTGATTAATTAGAAGGTGGCTGATACCCACTCGTTTGCGCTTATTGATAAAACATACATAGTTGACCCTATGAAAAGCTTTTGAGAAATCAAGGTAAATGATATCAACCTTCCCCTTGCGATCGAAGATCCTTGTACACCTGTCCACCGCAGTTAGCAGATTGGTTGTGCAAGAGTGGCATGGCGAGACTATAATTTATGGATGACCTTTGAACGAATCTCCATAATTTTTTAAAGGTATACAGCGAAGAGCCACTGGCCGGTTATTTGAAGGTTCACTGCGTTGACCTCCTTTGAAAAGTGGTATGATGTGAGTCAGCTTTCAAATTTCCGGCGGTTCGCCATGGCTTAGCGAGTGTGAGAACATTACGCGGATGAGCGGATGAGCGAAACTAACGCAAAAATTACCCTCAAAACGATCGTGTGTGACTTGCTTCAAGCATTTTTCCCTTGGACACGGCAGTCTTATCCTTAGGTCGCTCTAACACAAGGTACTTTCTAGGTAACCCCGAAGAGCACTTCCGTCGTGTGGGCAACGGGTGAGGAAATCTGGAGTCTCCTAGAATCAGTATATGAGTGTATTGGAGACGAGTAGAAATGGATAATCCCTACAGCGTACGACCGTTGTACTCAGTGTCACTAATCGGCTTCATGTACATGACTCCCACTAGACATTTCTGGGTGTTAGGCAAACTCCCTGATCACCGTATAGATTCATCAAGATTCATTAAATATTGAGTATGCATCTGACGTGCTTTTCAGTGAGGTTATAGGGACAGGTCTACTTTGCCCTGCATTCCAGTTTTTCTGTCGTTGCGAAACAACGACATGCCAAGTATTGCTAGTGTCTGGTCTGTAACTTGGGAAGATGTCCATGTTTCATTTGTATTTATCAGATGAGTATTATTAACGGTACTTAGTTCACACATCTCATCCATTTTGTCCAGTAAACTCACAATGTTCGTACGGGCAGTTTATGGCCTCGGTTTGAAACGCGCGATCTTCCTCACCCAGTTTGTCTGAATCAGCCGTATGTAAATGGACAGGCAACTTACCTATATAGGATTTTTCGAGTTGGAATTCCGGATGCATGTAGATTCTAGTTAGTAACCGGCATCTGTTGGTACGAAACGTGTCGACCGTGATAGATACCACTTGGGAGGATGACAAAGTTACCTTCATTAGGTGGGGTAGAGAATCCTCTTTCTTCTTGGCTATTGCACCACTTTTTCGTCCATTATGTTCTTATGCTCCAAGGACTACCTTATGAGCTCCCACTGAAGAATGCCACAGCCTACACGATCAAGGTTCATGTTTTAGGTGACACTTAAGTTAATGATACGTATCCGCGAAAGAACGTCTAGCGAGCTCACTCAGTAATGTCCCTAGTGAGATTGTTCTAAGAATATCGTATATCAAGCAGTGTTTTTAACATCCCCTTCTAATTACGACAAATATATCAAACTCATTCATCCTCGACTTTTGGTTTGATATAGTTGGTATTCTTCGCTTATAAATGTATTTCGACAGGAACATTGTCAAACTATGGACATTTGAAGTTTCTTTAGTGTTGAGCACGACTAGATTGTGTACCCCAAACGATAAACTGTGTCTATTCTTTGTTGTGACTACATATTATCGTTTTTAACCTCTACCCTTACTATTCGTGAAGTAGTTTTTCTATTTTCAAAAACACAGTGACAGTGGAACCTTTGCCCGCTGATTAAATTTGATTGTAGTGATCTCTTGTTAGGCATCAGCACCACTTAAATTCATTTTTTTGTAGTTAAAGTAGTCGATAGGAATATCATTTTTCTCAAAAGTAATTTGTCATCTTTACTTTTCAAACATATTTAATCATTTACTAGTTTTTTACTTCTGTTTAACTATTTATAGTTTTTCATTATATTCTGGTCATTGGTTTCTCTTGTCTTTGGATATCGGTTTCGTTCAATTCGTTTCTGAAATCTTCTGACTGGTGACTGCACAGTGTAAATACGTAATTTCCAACGCTCTGTGAAAATTTGCATGCAGTGCAGTGAGTGTAAATGGTAGTGCCACAAACCTCTCAAAAATATAACGCTTGTGACGATCGAACGTTTTAGTGAAAATGTTTGCGCGTTGTTGTGTCAGCAATGCTTATCGAAAGCGAACAGCCTAAGCTCAAGCCATTGCAATGGTGAACGCTGCTAAGCGGAGTGTTTGCAAGCATACTCGAGACACATCAAATGGTGCTCGCTTTGTCGACAAACAAATTTATATGCACTTGCCCCGAACAAGGTCAGCGTCGATTGATTTATATTTTTCCAACCGAGGAAGGACGGTCTTAAGAGAAGTCTGACAGGAATAATATTTGTATGCACTTCAAAGTATACTTAACTTAGTCAACAGAAATGCTTCATCTAAACGCAAGTATTTTACGAATATCGAAAATAACAGTTCTAGGTAGTAAAAGCCTTGAGTTATCAATACTTCGGCTTTTCAAATACTGTGTCAAGTCAAATTCTCTTAACACGACTAAATTCTTCATAGTTAACGGAAGCGTTGTTGACGACATTGATATTATTTGCGAACAATTCAACCAGCACTTCTCGCAATGCCAAAAAAATGGGAGCTGGAAGCTCCACCGATACATCTCCAATGCTGACATCCAGACAAATATCGAAAATTGATTTTATACCCTCGAACATCAAGCAGGCCATTGCTGCCATGAAAAAGTCGTATGATGGTGAAGTTGACGGTGTACCTTCATCATTTGTGAAATATGGTGGTAGAGAATACCCTCCATTTTGTTTGAAAATTTTCAATCTATCCATGGAATATGGGACCTATCCATTTGTATGGAAAACATTTCATAACATCCCTAGATTTAAAACAGGATAACGTAGTGATATTGTTAATTATAGGCCAATTAATTTGACATCCGTGCTCTCAATAAGCATGGAAAAAATCATCCACAAACAAGTATTAACATTTTTACTTTCGGCTAGTCTGATTAGCCCACCCCGACACGGGTTTAGGACTGAACGAACATGCTTTACATCGCACCTGGAACGTTTTGATCAAATTAATCAGAGAAGAGATGATGATCAGTCAGTGATAATGCTTTACTTTGATTTTAGTACGGTTTTCGACAGTGTCTCGCACAAACCTCTTCAAACACTTCATTTGGCATGCAGAATCCCCTTTTATTTTGGCTCAAATCTTTTTCAAAAGAACATAGCCAATCGTCCGCTGTCGATCTTGCTACTCTAAGCCTGGGAATGTAACCAGTGGGGTTATACAAGGAAATCTGATTGATCGATTACTCCTTCTCCTTTTTATCAATGACGTAAATGTGGTTGATGCTCCAACGAAAGTTGAGTAATTGGTACAATTCAAGAATAATAATTTTGCTAAAAATCTTGCAGTCCGCCAAACAGTAGCTGAGAATTTGAAGGCTTATCATATTGGCAGGTCAGTTGTCCTTCATAGAGTCTGGGTGAGTGAAAGCTAAGAATCTAAGTCTCGGTTTAAGAATGACGTCGAGTTCATAAAAGAGATACTAGACCAGCTAACGCTCCTGGACATCTTTGAAGCAACCTTGCTAAAGATTTATAGACTGGGTGGTTGAATGGATTCGAAACGGAATCAAACCAAGCTGCTAAGTGCGGTGTATACGTCTCCTAATGAAAGGAACACAATACGACTGAATGGACATAAGCTTTATTCTACAAAGACTTGACACTCGCGGATCATACAAAGAGGCGAGAAGCTGAAATGAACTAAAACTCAGGCTGAATGCTGGCTAGAGGAACCTTAGAATTATGAATTCTAGGGTGGCGAGGCTTCAACAGAGGATGATGACGAAGCGCCCCTAGGTGCAGCACGAAGCAATTT